AGAGAGTTGTCGTGGGCGTAACTGTTGCCAATATCGCAGGGACTTATTGCTATTTGTCCAGCTGGTTGCATAAATCCTGTGTCTTCTGGTATATATTGTTCTTGTACGGAAGGACATGTTGAACTTTGTTGCTCCTCCAGCTGCTGTCCGTATGGGGCATAATGAAAGCTGGCAGGACCAATCACATTCGGTGCTGACATCTGCACAGTAAGAATGAATACTAGTAATATCCACATATCGGTACATCATGCTTTTGTACCATCAAAGAAAATACGTACGAAGTACAAAGGACGTTCTTTTCTGTTCCTGCAAGAAGGGTCACAGGCTGCAACAAAATTATGTCACCAAAAACAATGTCAATAATCTTGAATTGTAGAATGTCTGTCTCATTGAGTCTTTAATTATACCATGCACAGTATTATTATATTTAAAAATTATTTAATTATATACTATAATTTCTAATATACCTATATACCCAAATTCATATATCAGATGCAAGTTTTTAATTATACCATGCACAGTATTACTATATTTAAAAATTATTTAATTATATACTATAATTCCTAATATACCTATATACCCAAATTCATGTATCAGATGCAAGTTTTTAATTATACCATGCACAGTATTATTATATTTAAAAATTATTTAATTATATACTATAATTCCTAATATACCTATATACCCAAATTCATGTATCAGATGTATATTTACTTATATGGCAAAACGTTTACGCATTTATCCTAATTACTCGAAAGGGCCTGAACTCAGGATGACTCAAAAGGGTACAGATTTTTGCCAATCTCTCTATCTCTCTCTCTCAGTATCTCTCTCACCATCGCTGCACAGGCCTTCGGACCACGGTCGCTTCTTCAGATTTTGAATGCCACATAATGTTGGTAGGACTTTTTGCCGCTGTATCAGCCCGTAGCAAAACGCCGCTACCTACATATGACAATATGAATATAGAATAAATGCACAGAGACAAAAATGCCTCTAGTGGAATTCTAACCCAGAAGTTTTAAAAAAATAAATGTTTATAAAATTATTAGGAACCCTTTTCCCTTGCACAACATCCCGGGGAGGATACCCAAAACGGTGAGAGTTAGCACTAATACGAATTTGGTCCACTTTCAATTTCAGAATACAATTAAGCAAAAATTACCCACACTCAATAATTATGTATATCTGAATGCAGAACATCGTGAATTATCCTGATTCCTCTGCAAAGAATTCACAAAGTTATCTCGCGATTTATATCTTCCTACTTCATCAAACGAAATTACAATTTCAACAAGCAAAGCTACTCTGAAGCCTTCTGTTTGAAGCGTACGAATCCATCGATATGAAAATATGAATTCCATCGCTTCTCTATAAACATTTGCCTCTGGAATGGGGGGAATTATGCAGGAAAAAGTGGGCACGCACGAAAGAGTTGCAGTTGAACTAATATGGATATACACAAAATATTACACACGAAAATGTGGGTTGAAATACAATGTCGATACTTCGTAGCAACCTGTGAACACGGATTTGGAATAGACAACATATGAAGAAAGCAGTCTTCTGGGATTTGGCACCGTGTATATGTGGTGTTAACCGACGTTTCGGAGGAACGTATCGTCTCCATCTTCAGGGTACACGGTCACTTTGCTTGCAGATTTCTTATATTTTTTTCTTCTACCCTGAAGATGGAGGCGATACGTTCCTCCGAAACGTCGGTTAACACCACATATACACGGTGCCAAATCCCAGAAGACTGCTTTCTTCATATGTTGTCTATTCCAAATCCGTGTTCACAGGTTGCTACGAAGTATCGACATTGTATTTCAACCCACATTTTCGTGTGTAATATTTTGTGTATATCCATATTAGTTCAACTGCAACTCTTTCGTGCGTGCCCACTTTTTCCTGCATAATTCCCCCCATTCCAGATGCANAAAGCCTCAAATCTTACATAGACAATATATATTTGTAACATTCGCAATTCCTGTTCAATTTACTTTCCTCTTTCCGGGATACGATGTTATGTATAATGGGGAGCAAAAGACAGCCGACCGCGGTTTATACTGTTCCGTCTGCCAAAGAACATACACTCTTAATTCATTTATAATTGCTCGAATTTAATTTGTATCTAAAGGAAAGGTAAATTTGCCCCTGTAACAGGCCGTGAGGGCCACGGGAGTGTGTATGGTCGAGGCTCCCACATTTGCCAGAGGGTCGGCTCAAATTTAGCAGTGAGGTTGTCAGCCTTACGCAACGACCGCCCTTTACCCCCCAAGAAAATAACTGGTATTCAGTAGTAAGAAAGGGGGTGGGGGGACGCCCTCTGACGTAACGTAGACCCGGCGTTACAGTCATATCTTACGCAGTAACTGCCTCCTAAAAGAATTTATTGAAGGAATGATAGAGAGTCGGATAGAAGTGACAAGAAGACAAGGAAGAAGACGTAAGGAGATCCTGGATGACCTTGGGGACAGAAGAGGATATTCTCATTTGAAGGAGAAATTTATAGATTGCATCAAGTGGAGAAACTGTTTTGGAAGAGACTGTGAACCTGTCATCTTGACAGATTACTGATGAATGAGTGAACAGTAAACCATTGTATTTATTTGGATTTAACACATATGAATTAAGGGTTAACATAGAAGCATTTGGTTTTGTCAATTTACTCACTGAAGACAAAAGTCTAGTTTCCAAAAATTACACCCGACAAATGACCACTTTTCCGCCGTAGGCACTCGTTAAGTCTCTTCCTAAAGTCGCTCATTACTGTTTACAGCATCTCTATGGGAAATCCTCAAATTCTTTCAGAATTCGATGTTTCAATCCCTGAAATCTGTGGGGTGCAGGAGCTTTGAAAATTTGGGATTTCAGATATCCCTAGAGAAAATATCACATGTTGATAGGTCAGGTATCCTGGCTGGCCAAATGATGTCCTCACATCTGGAGATAATATGGTTAGGAAACAAGTTATTCACAATTGCCATGGAAGCTCGTGCGGTGTGGCACGTTGCCCCATCTTGCTGGGAAATCGTTTCTCCTTTTACTGAAAGACGAGAAAGTGCAGGAGCTCAGGAGCTCTTCAACATATGAACGTAACGTGGTCCAGTCACATTTACAGAGCTTTCCCACTCATCTTTAAAGAAGCAAGGGCCAATAATTTCAATCGAATATATCGCGCACCATATTGTGACTTTGGGAATGTGAAGTGGTCTCTCTTAAATATATTTGGGGTTTGTGGCTGACCAATAGAGGAAATTTTGCTTGTTAACAAACCTCGAATATTTAAAATGAGCTTCATTTCTCATCAGTAAGTTGTCAATGACATCTTGTTATTGATTTAATTGCAAAAGTCTGTCAGAAATTAACTCTTTTTTTCATAGACGTGTTCTTCTCGTGTATGAATAATCTGAATGTTATGGGGGTGGAAATGGAGATCTTTGTGCAAAATCCGTCGAACGCGGGCTTCGGAGAGCCCGAGTGATGTAGCGTGGCGACGCCCAGACTGGAGTGTATTTCGTTCAATGGCTTCTCTCACTGCCGCTACATTCTCGGGTGTACGTGCTGTTTTTCAGAGCAAAAGAACCTTGTCCTCCAGTCCACGACCCCATTGCAACCAACACGCTTTGTGGTATGCCGCTAGGTGTCAGTAGTGGCATCCTCTCCACTCCAAACAATCCAGGAGAAAACACCGCTGACATATCGCCTGATTCATTGACGCAAAGTTTCAGAGTATGCTTGTGAGAATTACTAACATTCGGTACATGTCAGTTCTCTAGTCCTAGAGCAGAGGATGAGATACTCGTGGCTGCAAGATTTTCTGCACTAATATTAAAAGGATATACAGGAAAGAAAACTTCGGATCATCGAAACGCACGCTGGTACAGTGACAAAATGAAACTAAAACGAATAGAATATTGTGGTGTCGATAGGATGTAATAGGCCCTGGCATGTGCACGTGGAGAAATGTTTTGAGCGTGGTAAATAATTTCGTGGTGTTCCTAAAATATAGTTTAACAATTCGACCAGCAGATGGACTAGCACATGTAGTAATTCAGTGAAGACCTGAGGACTGTACGTCCTGCAGTGAGTTGCAGAAGTATGCTTCTGCCGGCTCACGTGGTAATCAGACTTCTTCAGTTTCTGTATTTCAAGAGGCAGCATAATATCGATCCTGAAATGGTTTCCTTCAAATTACTCGTAAATCTCTCTTTGTGCCATTGTTCTCTTAATTATTTCAGTAATAGCCTAGAATCTGTTATGACCTGAGATGCTATCTGCAATTATTATGAAGTGTTGAGGCAGAATAAGTAAGTGCGGATGTGCAATTTGAGTTGGTAATTTAATTACGCCGTCAGATTTGAGAGTAAGAGGAGACAAGTTGGTATATTGAGCCGTTGGGGGAATGGAATTTGGAAGGGGGATACCCAAGTGCCAGGAAAAGAACTATGTGACATAGCCACTCTTTCCAAGACAGAGCCCTCATGAGCTGACGTGAGAAAGAGCGCCAGCAGCAATGTTGGGAAGCGGCTGCTAAACATCAGAATGATGTGTTTATAAGATGTGAGAAATTCATTAATACTCCACGTCCCACCATACTTATGGATATTTTATCGATAACTTAAAAACATTTTATTTGCAAGGCTATACGATTTCCATTCCAAAATCTTCGTCTTAAAACAAACCTCACCGTTGCGTTTCGGATATTACGGTGCAAAAAATGACGTTCACACGATTTTTTCACACATCCTATATTGCTGTGAGGGAATTGAAGTGATTTTAGACAGGAATTTTCCACTTCATTTCCTTATATATGCGCTATTATTCTTATGAATGGAGGGAACAGTAGGCCTACAGCCAAAGGTAATTTCTACATTATTAAAATTAAAAAATAAAAGTATTTAGTAATTAAGGCGTAAGGTTCTGAAAAACATATTTTTGTAATATGACACATGAATGCAATAGTTTCTAATAACGAATTTTGTAAATTTCTGCAGATGGATCCCCACCTCAAATGCAACGTACCGGACTGCGGGAACTCATACAGGACGAAATCAGAACTGCGAGCTCACAAGCGGTGGCACGACAAGGAAGGTTTATATGTTTGCGAGCTTCAGGGTTGTGAGATGCGTTTCAGGTACCAGCAAGCTCTGGATTACAATATGATGATTCACACCGGACAACCATAAGAGTGTGATGTATGTAAGAGTAGCTTTTCTAGAGTGGGCTATCTGAAAAATGCATCAGGAAATTCACATTCGAGAGGTAAGTGACAGAAGAGTAACTAATTTAGTGCAAATAAGTGTGGCATCCGAACGAATAAAATGATTATATTCATTTTTAACAATTCGTGGTTCTCATCATCAATGATGCTAATATTTCCACCTGTTTAAAGGCACAGAATTTTTATTCTTAATAATTTAATTTGTTTTGGATTTTTAGTCAGAATATATACCAGCATGAATAACTAATAGCAAACTAGCAATATGAGTGCAGCACTAACTCGAACCTATATCAGGCCAACCGATTCGGCACCCTGTTACAAAAAGAGCTACTGATTTACCAGGCACAGCTATACCAGGACCAATTGCAAGAGCGGTAAAAACTGACATCAGGAACACGGCTGATAGTGCACGATATTGCAGTGTTACCTATTCCGGAATATCTTTGTGCCAATGCCTTTCCCTGTCAGCTGTCTGTTCTACGTGTTCCTCACCTTTCGCGCCTGCACCTCTGTCTCTGGCCAGGCCTGAGCAGGAGGGGGCTCAGTCAGTCCAGGAAGTACAGGAGACACTATCATTATCCGGGACATTACCGCTTATTGACTTATTGAGCCCGATCAGAGTGGACGCGCAGTCTAAAGCAGGAACTGCATTCGCTTGCTCGGGTGATGACGTCGTATGTTTGGAGTTCACTAAAAGCATGGTTCTCTGTGTGCGTTTATGTTGTTCTATGTTTAGGAAGCGGCCTTGCGACGGGCTGATCCCCGTCCAAGGAGTCCTGTCGAAAGTGAAATGATCAAAGAATCTAAAAAACGGCCAAGATCAGAAGGACTGTAGTGCCATAGAGAGAGAGAGAGGGGGGGGGAGAGAGAGAGTGTGTGTGCGTGTGCGTGTGTGTGTGTTCATAACTACAAGTAACTATAGCCCTCTCGCTCATTCTCACACTGCACAGTTTACTGCAACACGCACAAAGTCATCAGTCTGCTGTGTCTTCACTAGCAGTTGCCTGATAACGGGGTCCATCGGCGGGCGTTCCCCTTGAGCTGTTTTCTTGCCTCAGCTACCAGCTGCACTGTAGCACTACTATAACTAATCCACTCATTCGCTAATCAACAATACCAGTCCAGTATATTCAACCGCTGTAAGTGAATTATATTACCAAGGTCGGTCGAGTGATATAGCCTCGGAGAGGATCCGTAGAATATACGAATTCCATTAATACTTCATTGTTGCGTGCGGGCCACTGCCTTGCAACAGCTGCAGTACTGATGCGTATATACGTATGTGTTGCATGACCATGTCTGTGGTCTGTTTGCTCAGCGGTCGTTACCTAACACTGCACTACATTATAATTCATTAATCATCGCACAATTAGTGTCTCTTTAAAAGAATGCGTAAATGAATAACTGACATTTGACAAGAACATTTTCGAAGAAAGAAATTACTTGGTAAATACAGGATGAACAATTTTGAACAGATCGTAATCGAGGAACAATAGAGAAATTAAAAGAAACTGATTTTTCTATGCTGTTCGTGTCGAGGCGATATAAGGAGGATACCTTCCGCGTCAACCCTCAGCGTGGAGGCCGGATAGATTACCTCCACCTTAGCGCTTCGAATCGTAGGAGGCGACGAAAAGGGATCCCAATGCTTGGGGGGTATGTCTAGGTCAACCTTTTCCTGGGGGATATAAATACGGGCTCCTGGACCTTCTGGTTGTTGGAGTCTCGAATGTAAACAGCAAAATTTTGTCATATGTTTAGTGACTATAAAAGGTTTCTGGACTTGTGAATGTTTTTATTGACTATTTCCAGTTCGTAGCTACAGTAACTGTTACACTAATGGTGATTACTGATGAGAGTTCTGATGATAGCTCCGATTCATCTGGTGGTGACGAGGAAGGACAGGCATGTGGAGATGATATCTATGCGGACATTGCCGGTGTTGCCCCATTAGAATAGACCCGTGTAATATGCAAATAAACTCTTCATGTATATAACAGTGAAAAGTGTATAATAGTGTACAGTGCATAACAGTCTGCCATTCGGCACTTGAAACTTAACATCGGATGTATGAACATCACCGAGACTAAATCGCCAACACTAAGCAACACAATGAGGCAAGAAATTTTTTCCTTTTGAGAACGCCTGTACTGTAGTCACTCCACACTTGTCGGCATGCTGGAGCTTTCCCCGCCACTACCAATAATTCTCTTACTCAGCGTCGGAGGACTGTCACTTCTAAATCCCCGGGCTTTAGTTGCCTGGTAACGGAGTCCCCTTCCTCTGGGCCCGAGAGCCGTCTTCTTGCCTCAGCTACCATCTGCACTGTAGCACTACCCCAAATAATTCGCTCAATTGCTAACGAACTACACCAGTCCACTGTACTCAACCGCTGTAATTGAATTGTTTTACCAAGGAAGGTCGAGTGTTATAGCCTCGGAGAGTATTGTTCGAAAACACGGATTCCATCAATACTTCGATTGTCGCAGGCGGGCCGTTGTCTGGCAACAGCTGTAGTAATGCTGCGTATTTTGGAATGTGTTGCATGGCCGTGGCCGTTGTCAGTTTGTTCAGCGGAAGTTACTTAGCACTGCACTACATTATAATTCATTAATAATCGCACAATTAGTGTCTCTTAAAAAGAATGCATAAATTAATAATTTAATGAGAGCCATTCTTTGATAAGTACCAGATAAACAAATTTGAATAGCTCCTAATCGAACAACAATAAAAAAAGTAAAAATAACCCTGTTACTGGACGTGGAGGCCCATAGGCTTGTGAGATGTTGAGGTTCACAAATTTTATAGACAATCGGCTCATACATGGCGGCAAATTTGTCAGGCTTACGCTCCGGCCGCCCTTTATCCCCAAGGATATTTCAAGAATATTCCTGGTACTCATTTCTGTTAGAGGCTGAGTCAACCAGAGGGTCATAGTGCGGCTGGAAGTATTATGTAAATTTGAAAGGAAAACCCAATGACGTCATCGGGACTTGAACTCGTGACCTTCCGTCTTGTAGCGTAGAGCCTCGGCCAACTATGCTACCGCGTGCCCCCATTCGAGCAAGAACAGAGGAACTAAGAGAAACTGCGTTTAATATTCTGTTTATGCCGAGGCGATATAAGGGGACAACATCCGCGGCAACCCTCAGTGTGGAGGAGGGTTCGAGTACCTCCACCGTAGCCCTTTGAGTGACAGGAGACAACGAAAAGGGATCCCATGTTTTGGGTTATATCTGGGACAACCTGTTCCTGGGGGATATAAATACGGGGTCCTGGCCCTTCAGGTTGTGAGAGCCTCGAATCTAAGTGAATAAGATATTAGCAAGTGTTTCAGTGTCTATAAACGATGTTTGGATTCTGAATGGATTTATTGACCACTTCCAAGTCGTAACTACAAGTAAGTGTTACACTAATGCTGATTCCAATACCACAAATCACTCAGAACTGTCATCTCAGTCTATTTCCACTAGTCATTACTTGATAACAGCTCTCAACAGTGGCTATTCCTCTGTAATGTCTTCATTAGATATTTTCTGGTAACGAATATTAACAATGGAGATTCTTCCGTTTCCGTTGCTCTCTGGTTAACACTCCAAAGCTGAACCCTCAACTGCACTGCACTCACTCAGTGTTCAAACAGACCACGGTCGGTCGGGTCATATACGATGTAGCCTCCGAGAGGTGCTACAGGTAGCATCGTCTGCATCGTCGCTTCTGTTCTTGTTTGACGTCACTGCACATGCGGACGCTGCTGGGGATACGCAGCAAAGCTGTACGTGTCATGTATAGTGACATGACTTATATTGTTGCGTGAGGGCATTACATGATGTTTACAGTATTTCCCCTTAGCAACGGGTCTATAGGTCACAATATAGTCACGAGTACAGCAGAACGCGGATGCGAGAACGACTACCATGGCGTGGGCCAGCAGCATTAGTAAAGTGCAAACCATTCTTCTCGCCAGTGAGTTCACCACACAGCAACAAATGCCCAACTGTCCGACAGTATTACATATCTGGTATCGGGCTCAAATAAATGCCTCCAATAAAACAGACTGGCCGACTGATCATCAGTCCTCATATGTCCTTGACTTTGGTTAGGCAGTCAGTCATGTGTTAAAAGTGCACAGGTGAGTGAGTTGTGAGTTAGACGCCACCCGTTAAGAGGCTACGCAGAGGACACTGTTGGGATGTGTTGCGATTGAAAGCCTAGTGAAAACGTTGAAATGTTAGCTTTTTCTCTAGGAAGAAGTAGAACGGGCAAATTAGTGAACAAGGTTATAGTTAGCTGCAGTTGGGGTTTGTTGATATTCAGTAATATGAAAAAACAATTGATACGTCCTGTCTAGTCCTAATACATAGTGAACAGTAGCGTTCTCAAGGGTCCCAGTGTCAAATATGATATGCATTTCCTCTGATGTTAAAATTCTGCTGTGTATAGAAGGAAAGTTTCGGCTTCAAGTACCAAGAACTGGGGTGTGAGAGGGCGTTCAAGTTGCCTTCCCAACTGAAAGCGCACATCCTCTGGCACACGGGACATGAGGGACACGTTTGCAGCCGGCCAGGCTGTAAGTTGAGGTTCGAGACGCTTCGTCACCTGAAGGATCATATGAAGACACACAACAGAGAGAAGCCATTTAAGTGTGAAATTTGTGGCAAGGATCACATGATGTCAAGTAGTCTCCGCTCACATATGAAGAGGCATGGTCAAGAGGTAAGTTTGACAGGAGATGTCAGGCTAAGAGTCTTTGTGATAATAAGTGGGGCATCATAGCGAAGAAAATTATTAATATTGCAGATAATTCAGCGATGTGTTCTTAGAAGAAATATTATTTTCTCACCTTTGATTGCACTTGGCCGTCATTACAACATTAAAAATAAACCAATCCAATTTCTCACATTGCATTTTTCTAATGGTTGCTGCGTGTTTCGGTCCACATATGAGATCATCTTCAGGCAGTCTCATTAAATACTTCTGTAGTCATTGAACTGTTTTATTATGGATCCATATAAGCGCTACTCATCACAAACGTGTAACATGTGTAACTGTCACGAATTTACAAGTATATTTCTCATTTTAAAATTTTCAGAATTTAAAATTTAAATCTAAACTTATTTAATATTGTCCTGCTGAATGTAGTGTTTTATATGTAGAATATTACATTTCGTCCTTACGCGATGGGGAGACAGCTACATGTGTTATCACAATTTCTGTCCCGAATTTTCTCTTACCTCCCTTCGACTAAGCCTGGTCTCACCTATTTATGTCGATGTATTTACTGTTTCGGATATTTCAGTGATTGAGTTCTGTGTTCTGTAAAAGGTCTAACAGAGTAGGTCTCTGCCTACTCACGAGAGGATGGAAACCGATCAAGTTTCCGAAATGCTGTGTTCTCTTCAACTAGGGCACTAGACGATGGAAAAACTTTAAAAAATTCCGTAATACCGAAAGTAATAATTAATTTCTATTAATTATTTAAATATGGGTTTACTCAAAAGCCCATAGGATATCTAAATATTAAGAACAATTAACATACGAACAAGGGAGAAACGCATACACAATTCTCAAGGGAGAATAATCCATCTTGTATTTCGTAGGCAGTATATTGGTCTATTGTCGGTCACGGTAGCCGAGCGGTCTAAGTCATGCAATGTCTTCGCTCGCTCGGAAGCAGGGATAGTGGGTTCGAATCCCAATCAGGGCATGGAGGTTTGTGTGCGTTTTTCTGTGTTTGCCTACAGGTAGAGGTCTTGCGACGAGCTGATCACTCGCCCACGGAGTCCTACCGTATGTGTAAGATCTAGAAAAACCGAAGTGAACGGAGTTCATGGGGGCAGTCCTTGGCCCACTGGAGCTGTAGTGCCAAGGGAAAAAAATATTGGTCTATTACTCACATAAGTAGTGTGACAGTCCGTAATTTGCTTATTATCTTGGGCAGGTGGTTGAATCATATCCATAATAGAACAAAATTAATTTTGCACCTGAAGTTATCTAAAAAATGAAACATTGAAGTATTCACGACTGGAATAAAATGTTAACAATTTTAATTATTCAGAGTTGTGTTATAATAAGAGGAAAATTTAATTGGCTACAATGAACATAAGCTTATATACTTATAATTATATATTTATAATCTTTTGTGTTTTACAGTGCACTAGGATTTGAGATTTATGTTTATTATAACAGAATGATACTCAATAATACAGGAGATGGACAAAAATATGGAAACACCCAACAAAAAACATATTACCGTGACTAATATGGTGTAGGACAAACTCAGGCTAGCAGAACTGCCTGCAGTCCCCTTGGAATGGCTAAATAGAGGTCCTGTATGATTTGCAAGGGAATCTTGTACAATTCTTCCTGCAAAACATTGGCAAGTTCTATTAACAATGATGAATGTGGAGAGCACGCACACAGATTGCCCCCCCCCAAAAGACGACAAAGCTCAATAATATTGATACCAGGCAACTGAGGGGGCCATGGCAGACGTGACACTTCATATTCGTGCTCAGAAAGCCAGTCCTGGACGATGTGAGCTGTGTGAACACGGGAACTGCCTTCTTGGTAAATGGCATCACCATTGGTGATTTCCCAGTCCTCCTGTATGAGGTCATAATCTTGCATAATGTGCCTCTCGAAACACCGAAAACCTCGGCTAGCTTGGTTACGGAAGCAGCCACCATACGGGCCCCAACAATTTTCCCGCGTTCGAATTCTGTTACGTCTGACATGATGCACTAAAACTGCTCAGAACACTGTCTTGACAACAAATGAAGCTTGCAACATATTACGGAGGTTGTACAGGTAGTGCTATTGGGCAGATAGGACAGCGTCGCCTACAAACGTCGCTAAAATAAATACTTCAATTGAGGCATGCATTTCTAAAGGTGTTTCCATATTTTTTTCCATCCCCTGTAATAATGATGATGACGTTATTGCAGAAGGTGTTAGTACTACTACTACTACTACTACTACTACTACTACTACTACTACTACTTCTACTACTACTACTACTACTACTACTAATAATAATAATAATAATAATGTGGAATTAAAGATAATTATTAATTTCACGTGGAGTAACAAACACAGATGCAATAGTTATAAACTTAGAAATAATATTCATAATGTGAGCACGGAAGTGAACGCACATAGTATATAGATATTCCCAGTATGTGTACTGTGAGAAGGACTGTTGAACTGTCCGTTAATATTACGTAATTTATGTAAATTTTCTAATATATTCCTGATTATATCTCTCCATATTGGGAAAAATAGAATGTCGTGTGTGTATGGGAATTTGTATCCCTCAGTACAGTATATTACACACACCTTATACCGGAGATTGAGGGAAAGAGGTTGTGATAGTTGTGGAACTGAAATACTGACATATGCTGTGCGACACAGTTAATAATCACGGAGTAGCCTTTTCATATATGGCGACGTCCCATACGCACAGATTATTGCCCTTGCTCCTAATATGTACTCTTTTGCAATTTGCCTGCAGGAATATGTGTCCGTGAGCCTGGATGCGGAATGGTATTCCCAGAAAAAGGATACATGATAGGTCATATGCGCTGGCATGACGGACTTCCGGAATATATGTGCGATCAGACAGATTGTGAGATGGCATTCAAAACCAAGTTTGCCCTGAAGCTACATATGAGGACACACACCAGAGAGAAGCCATTTAAATGTGACATTTGTAAGAAGTGCTTTTCCTATCCAGGAGGTCTCACGAAACGCAAGAAAATTCACATTCAATAGGTAAGTTTCATAGAGGACAGAAAATGCATTGTGTAAAAACAGCAAGAAGACGCGAATATTTGTAAAGGGGTGTGGGTTCACTCGGGTTAATATACCGATGTGTCCGAACACCAGAGATATAAACCCTTTGCGCAACATGTCACAATATCAAGCGTTCTGTGTTTGCCACATTTAAATACAACTTAATTCTTTATTTGACACTACTACGTTTAACGGATATATTTTTCTTTATAATTTATGTAAAACGGCAGAAAATATGCTAACCGTGTGAAAATATGGTCCGCAAAGCTCAAAGTTCCTGCTGTTTGAATACCGATTGTATGAATTAACTTTTATGGACTGTACAACTTTCGCTACTGACCCATGCAATGTGTGTTGTGATTCCCTTTACTGTTGTTCGACAGGTATAGACGAGTCCCAATTCTTTGAACATGAGCCTGGGTTCGTCTAAACATTTCATTTCGTGTGCAGACATGCAAGTATACTCGTAAGGTATAAACATTGGTATCATTAACTTCAAGCTATATTTCCGGCCCAGCAGTTATGATTCGTAGTTGAAAACTAATGCAGACATTGCAAAATTAAAAACGATAACAATGAGAAGGATTGAAAGATTAAGTTAATCTGAATTAAGCAGCTTTAGTTAAGATGGAACGGTATCTATTTTTGACCAATATATTATATCCTGTAGCAAAAAGTGTTATTTAATTTTTATTTCGTTCTTGTTATTTTCACCTTTAACTCTTTGTTTCTTCTTTTGTAATTAATGAAGGCGTTTATCTGTTTCTGTTGTAGATATTTTCCAAAAAAACAAAACAAAACATAAACCCTTATTATATTTAAGCATCCTGTTGCACTCTACACGATAAATGATACAAGCTCCGTCCCAAGCGCAAACAATATATATTATATGTCTTTGATCTTGTTCTTTCTACACTACATGTTTCGGCCTCTATCGGCCATCATCAGGTGTATACTCTTAACGTTGCTGCCACACTGAACCCAGTCTAAAATTTAACATTTAAAAACACAATGTCAC